AACGGTAGACCGTGGATTCCGTAAAATTAATCTTTTGATATATAAAATTGTTAGAATCCCTACGCTAATAAAAAAAAAAAATCATCCACCCTATAAATAATAATAACGCATGGAAATTGAAAAGGTTGATTTGCTTAAGGAACTTTATCAAATATTTGTCTTGTTTTTATATAATTTCGAAATAGAGGTTAAATAAATTAATAAAGAATGGCAACTTGGCTGTAATGTGTGGTACTGCTACATTCTGCCTCTACACGTAATCGCAAACACACCAACTTCTCACGCCAATTATTGTTGTATTTTTGTTTTTATATGCCAAAGAAAATAAAAACTAAAAGCATAGATATTATGTAGAAATTACATTTTTTATTACGACAATATCTTTTAATGTCAACCTTATCATATTATATGTTGTATATGAATCTGATACGACATTCCCATACTTGTCCATTTAGTGAGCCGACTGAACCTCCACTGATTTTATCTTCTAGTATTTCATTTTTTTTCTTCTCGACATTGAAAAATCAACAAAAATATATAAATTGGTAAAATTACAGCTTGGATAATCACTTCGTTCACAAATTTGGGTAAGAAAATGGTGCCAAAAGGTTTCTAAAAGAAAATTTAATACATTCGTATTTCATATAGTATCAAGCTGTATATTTTCAAAACAAGTATTTTGGTAACTACTACTTTAAAAGACATGTTTACTTCGACCAAAAAACAAAATATATATATATATACAGCATTGTTTATGTTAAAATCATCTAAAATCGATTAATGTTCTGCAAATAATTGAAAAAACAAAAGAAATTTTGATTAAAATAATACTACAAAATTAGAGAATAAAAAGATAAAATAAACAGAGCAGGACGAAATCCACTACTATATAAACGCATCATTGGCTAAACCCAAATTTCACGCCCTCAAATTCAGAGATTCCAATTTCCACATCTCTCTCTCTCTTACGATTCTCTGATTCTATTTTCTTCACCAACCACATAAAAAAAAAAAAAAACTCTCTGTTCATCTTTCTCCTTCCTCCTCCCTTTCCCAAATCCAAATCTGAGTACCACCATGGGCCACGA